AAAGGTTTTAACTTGTCCAGGGATACTTCTAGCATCAGCATTCTCCATTTCATGCAACTAAACCTTTTCAGGAAAATTAAGACAGCAGGTTAATTTGGTTATAGGCTTCACATTCACATAGGCTGAAGAGCAAGTGAGAGGGAGTAGATTAGTGTGGAGTTATTCCAGTTCACCATTGCCTTCCTCAAAACCCATGAAAGTTTGTTCCATGGTTTTGAACTCTCCACAAGTGGAGTTGCAGGGGATTTCAGCATGTACATCGAGTGCGTAGGGGATGTGACCCACATAGTTACGTGCTGAGACCCACACCTTCTTGTCCTGCACACATTATTCTTGCCACAGCAGACAGTTGCATGGAAAGATGAATGTGGGGCAGAAGCTGGCCAGGAACAGAACTTTGGTGTGTTAATGAGCACCTGATTTCTGTCCAAATACAGTTTACCAAAACCTGGCTCAGAAACGTTTAAATTTTTTTATCATTAAAAAATAGAGAGAGACAACCCCCCACTTTTTTAAAGCAAAGTTGACTGCCTTTATCCACTCTGACTTGATTGGATACAAAGCCCTGTTGCCCCCTTTCAGTTTCTAAAGCAGTATTTCCCAAACTATGGGGTCTTCCCTTCGGCGGTGGAAAAGCTCTGAGAGGGGGCATACGCACCCCCTCCTTTAGCGAATTTCTCACCCCTTCAGCTGCTGTTATTGTTTCCCCTGCCACTGATTTCTTTTGCCAGTGATTGCTGCCAATTTTCCTGCCAGCAATTGCTGCTGGGAACAGGAATTGGTGTCAACTGGCAGTGAGGAAAGCGACAACATCATGACAGACTCACCAGAGAGGAAAGCTGAAGGGGGATGCAAAATAATCAATAGCGAGGGAAGCAGGGGTGACTGAAGCACAGGGTGTGTGAGAGTGCCCAACTTCTTTACAGTGGAATGTAAATTTACCAGGGTTGGGTTGAAGAAACGATGACAAAATCCATATAAAAATAGTAAATGAAAAGAACATAAAATTGCACATATTAATGCCAGAATATCTTTCAAAATCATTTGTATTCTGAAGGGTAGAACAAGTGTAATGAAGCTCAAGAAGATGACTCATCTAGGCAAAAAATAAGCTACAAATATGACAAGCATGATATTTTATAACTACTACATTACGTCTTTGACACCTTCTAGCGGTGAATTCCTCTGGACATAGGCTGCGGAAAGGGGTGGGCCACCTGGTCATGACCTGACCAACTTTTAGCATGTTAATTTATATAACCCAAAAAATGTGCAATTGTCATTCCAGTTAAATTTTTTTTAACTTCATAGGTAGCTAAATTAATGTGCTAAAAGTTGGTCGGGCCATGGCCTGGGTGGCCTACCCCATTCCATGGGCTGTGCCTCTGGATACATGTCTTCTTTGCACTACAAATAACTATCCTTTAATACTTAAGAGATGTCGATTTCTTTTTTCAAGTAAGTTGTATTTCTTAGCATTTTTAAAACCAGTTAGGATCTGATTCTGACCTTACTTACACTAGTTATGCCCTCATTCTGAATGAAGTTATTTTCTTATTTTCAGTGGTCTTTTTTTAGATTATCATTAGGCCCTTAGTGTTTTTATTATGTGAGAGAAAACAGTTCCTGTCTTGAATTAGAAATTTTGCAACTAAAGAAAAACAAAAACGCACAAATTTAGGCCTAAGCTTTCCTCACATTCTCTTTCACAGAATAAATAAATGTTGTTCAATACATTCTTCAAGATTCACCACTTAGAGTTGCCAACACATCATCCCTTGCAGGATGGCTTTAAGGGCGCATTTTAGTATAGGGATCTATTATGAACTTCAGGAAATCCTCTAGGCCTCAGTGAACTCAAAAAGAAAGGTAACGTTTCTGTTACTGCTCTGCTTCCCTTTTTCAAGAGGCTCAGCTTCCTTAGTAGCCATACTTGAAATTTCTCAGTGACCCAGTTTACTGTGATTGTCTCAAACAGGAGGAAGAGCTACCTTGGTTCTAGTGAAACTGGTGTTTCTGTCTCAGTTTCCCAATCATAGCATTTAGCCACCTGGCCATTGGCCCTTGGTGTTTATACTGTGTTTAACATTATGTTTGAGTGTATACCTGACAAAAGTTATCTAAAGTCAACAAAATATTTTGATACATTTGATTTTGTTTCTCTCTCCTTTATATCTTTGGGAGTTCTTTAGTTCCTGAAGCAGCCCAACTCATTAAGTGTTTTGATACTGCAAGCCATGACTGAACTGGAAACTATATACTGGAGACTTGTCCCTCACTTCAAGTTTTCATAACAAACTGCTAGCCCAAACAGTAATGTGGACAAAATGGAAAGAGTCCAGTGGAGGGCAACAAAAATGGTTAGCGGGCTGAGTAATTAGGGCTGTGTGAAACTTCAGTCCCTGATTCGATTCGGCAGAGATTTGACCCAATTTGGTGGCTGAATCTCTGAATCCAAATCAAATCAGAGGACTCTTTAATCTCTCCGAATTGAATCGGAACCCTCCAAATCGATTTGGAAAGATTCAGAGATTTGGACATAAAGACAGCTTTAAATGTTTTTTCTACATACCTTTAGGTAGCAGGGGCTCATGAGTGCTCGGATGCTGGGGTGCATGGCGTGTCCCACAGGAGCATGGGGGGCTCCCCAGGGCCCTCAGCAGCACTTCTGGTCCACTTCCAGGTCCACCAGTGAGTGCATGGGGGAGCCCCTTCGCACTGCCGTGGCTCGGCGACTGGTGCCTCCTGGGTCTGGGGAGCACCCGGGGTCTGCAGCTGATTGCTGAGCCCGGGGGGGGTGGGCTTGGGAGGGCCCCTCAGCATGTTCCCCAGTGGACCCAGAAGTGGACAGGAAGTACTTCCAGTTTACTTCTGGGTTCGCTGCTGAACACATGGAGGCCCCCCCACACTCCTGTGCATCACAATGCTCACAAGCCATGCTGGTACCTCGAGGTATGTAGCAGAAACATTTAAAGCTGTATCTATGTCCAAATTGCTGATTCTCCGAATCAGCATCATATCTCCAGGTTCAGCTGAATCGAATCAGGGACAATGATTCAAATCAATGAATCGAATCATTGTCCCCGATTCGGCCCAAATCTGAATCCAAATTTAATAGGGCTCACTTCGCGCACCCCTCTGTGTAATATGAGGAGAGGCTGAGGAAACTGGTTTCATTTAGTCAGGAGAAGGGAAGACTGAGTGGGGATTTAATAAGTCTTTAGCTACCTGAAGTGGGGTTACAAAGAGGATGGAGCTAAACTATTTTCAGTGGTGGCAGATAATGGTCTCAAGTTGCAGCAGGGGAAGGTTAGGTTAAATATCATGAAAAGCTTTCTCACTAGGGGAACAGTAAAGCATTGGAACAGGATACCCAAACAGGTTGTGCAATCCCCATCCTTAGAGGTTTTTAAGACCTGGGTAGACAAAGCCTTGGATGGGATGATATAATTGGTAATGATCCTGCTTTGGGCCTTGAGTCTTGGGGTTGGACTAGATAGGTCCCTTTCTACCTTAATTTTCTATGATTCCATTATTTTAATAGGTCAACAAAGCCCAAGGGGATGTTCTGCTGAATCACATTCCCTTATCTATTGTTTTATTATTTAACTGAAGACACTGAAATTCTTTTAGGCAACTGACTACTGGTTTGTTTGCAAATCTGGCACTGGGAACACCGCTGATGCTGTTAAGTGTCCATGACATTTCCTATTATCGAATATTGTTGATGTTATACGTGTATGACTATCAGGTAATGGAATAGGGAGAAACTGTTTTTCATGAAAAGAACTATCTACAGACAAGCTTGTATATGTGAAGAGAAAGGCAGCTAGGAATGAAGAACCTGTAAGGAATTTCTTTCTGAACTGGTTTTTCATGAAGCCTGAAACAGCAGAAGCACTCTTACCCATGAATAATAACCTATCACCTGTCATTATGTGTGCATCCAAATATTCAGTTTTATGTCTTTTTCTCAAGAATGTATCAAATAAAAATTTTACTTAAATTAGCCACCTGTTTGTATATACTGACAGATGACTCCTACAAATTCTTTGCATCTCAAACAGGTCCTTTTCCCCTGAGAGTATTTTGAATGTAAATAACCCAGAGAACATAAAAAATCATCTGCAATTCACTCCTTGGACATCATAATGTCATTAGAAACCACATTTTTTAAAGATAAGTAGACCACACATTTTAAATAGAAACAAAAATCAGGAGGAAATATTCCTGACAGTTGACTTAGTTGTCTGACCCCCAGCCTTTCATCTGCAAAGGTCTGAGTCACTAATGGAAAAGTTGCATGATCTTATTTTTGAAGTGATAACTAGAGCTGGACAGAAAACAGTTTTCCTGTCCCTTTTCTGATTCTGAATCAAGACAAGGTTTATTGCAAAAAATTTCATGGACTAACAAGCAGACATTTTTTTTGGCCCATTTGAAATTGCTTGTTTAAATAATTTTGAGATGCATTGATTTTGTCTTTTAAAAATAATACCTCCTTAGGAAAAAAAAATTGATTTCTAAATGAAATTACTTAAAGCTGAAAACCAACATTTTTTCATTTTAAAAAGGTCAAAATGGAATGTTTCAACAAATTTGTACTTTTTTTTAATGGGAAGATTTGGCAAAACTAAACTTTTCCATGAATATTTTAGTTTGACAAATTGGCATTTTCCTACAAAAAGCATAAACTAGCAAAAATATCTGACCAGCTCCAATAACAACTTGAAATGCATTCATGCAGCTATCTGGATGCATGTATACATATATGGGCTTATCTCATTTTATAAATACTGCAGCTTAGAGATTTATTGGTTTAGAGAAGGGATGAACATCAACACAGATCAGTACTTACATGTGTAGAGAAATGTCTGTATATTTGCAGTACTTTTAATAATAACTTTCTGATGTTTGCAGTGTATACACGTGCATGTATTTTTCTAAATCACTGTATCACAAATCTTGCACTATGTCTTTACAATCCGTTTTACTTTCAGGTAGCAGAGAAGCAGCATTCACATATGCCATCATTGCTGCTGGAGTTGCACATGCGATCACTGCTGCTTGTACACAGGGAAACTTGAGCGACTGTGGTTGTGACAAAGAAAAACAGGGACAATACCATAAAGAGGAAGGATGGAAATGGGGAGGCTGCTCTGCTGATATTCGGTATGGAATAGGTTTCGCCAAAGTATTTGTGGATGCAAGGGAGATTAAACAGAACGCAAGGACTCTCATGAACTTACACAACAATGAGGCAGGCCGTAAGGTAGGTATCTCCCTGATCTTCTAATACAGCGTGGTAATTCCCTACCTAGGATTAGTTGTCTGATTAGAACTCACATAGAAAATAAGAACTAAATTGCTTTAAGGCCAATCCATTTTACAGTAGAGAAATAAGTACCTATGCAAGTTATACAAGCTTTTGGGACTATCTGTCTATCAAATATTTATCTAACAGTTACTTTCGACAGTGATAAAACAGGAAATGCAAGCAAATGTTTCGTCTAGAAAGTCAAATGGTGCTTGTGATAAAGAGTTTGTCTGCTACTGTGTGGGTGAATCAGATTCTCTTCATGTTCAGGCATGAACTCTTCATTCATTTGAAAGGGATCATTTTCAACACAACTGTCTAAACCTTGCTCTTTGTGAGAGAACTCCATCTAAAGGGGAAAAAATAACTTGATGAACAGATGAACAAACCACTGACTGACTCATTTTAATATAACATTATGTGTGTCCGTGCATACAAACACACGTGTCTATAAGGCAGGGTTATCATCTTAAATGGAGCAGCTTCTCACCACTTGTCAAAGCTTGGCATCTTATACACACAATTACTGCAGAAAGAGCATTTGGATTTTTGGCTTACTAACACCCATAAACGTGTACATAGGAACATAGACAGCAAATCTGGGAATCCTGACAGTTCTTGGGTTGCCTTCTTTGTGATATATGGTAGTGAACTCAGCTTTCCCATTGTCAGGTGCCAATGAATAAAGATCAAGGGCCTCGTACTCCTGTCCAGCGGAGATGTCCTTAGCACAGAACCCAAGTCAAAGAGGGCTGTTTCCGTGCCTTCTACGTCTTTGAGGGTGGTCTGGTTCTTTGGGGGAGTTGCAAACTAGGACATTTTCAAAGGTGCTCTAACTTATGTGGTTAGAAATAGCCTGAAGTTGTTTTTTTATATTGGCCAGTGTCAAAAAAGGCCAGAATCTCCGGTCCTTTGAACATTAAATTATCATGTGTATGCATGGTCCTGTTTTGAAAATTAATTATATAGAAGTGACTCATTATCTTTAGTGAAAAGATCTGTTCAGTTCAGAGTCCTATCTTCTGACCCCAGGGACAAAAATATTTTGACTGCTTTTTACTAATGTTAAGTTTTATGGAGTCAAGGCAACTAAAGAGAGTGGAATGAATTCTGTTCCTTCCTGTCAACAGAAGTGTTCACCACAGTGACATCCCATTACCACTATGGGTTTGCATCGTGTAACTGAATGCAACTTGGCAGTTGTCTGGGTGTGATACAGAACTGAATAAGCGTTGCTTGAAATGGCAAGTAGCATGAAGACACTAAAATATTTTGCAGTTGCAGTTAAAGTTAGGGCTTAACACCACCTCTGGCACTGAAATGTGAGACCCAAGGACTTTGGTAACAGAAAAAAAAAAGTGTCACTGTCACAAGCAATAAAAAGTCTGCCTCAGATTTGTTATTGCTGAAATGATCAGATAGAGAGGCTGGGTTGAGTTTTGATTTCAGCGTCCCAGATGCCTGGGTCTGGTACTCCAGTGCAGAGACTCTCTCTGGGCATATCTCATGAGCTAACTCTTCAAAGAACTTACTTTCAGTCATTTTTCTAGACTCTATAAAGCACTGAGATACAGCATCTTGGCTGCCAGACTCATGACAACAGAAAAGTTATCAGAGTCTCTTTCTATTCCGCTAGATTTTTTCATAATGTCGGATTACATTATCCTCTGTTACCTGACTGAATCCACATCAAAGTAACAGAGGAAATGGCTCAGAATATATGAGATTCCACCTTTTCATAAACCTTGGGGAAGAGGGTTTAATGAAGAGGCCCATTCCCACTTCTATCTGGTGCAGGTCATGGTAGGCATAAAAGAAAAGTTAAGAATGACTTACCAGCAGCAGGTGTGCTTGGCTTTGGGTCTTGTTTTAGTGAAGCAGAAGAATGGGGCAAAACACCTTAAACTTTGCCTATTATAGTTACTGGTTTTCAGAATTTTGTAATGAAATAAATTGTCTAGTTAGACACCTGAGTGTCATTTTGTGCAGACATAGTAGTGCTGCGCCTGTGGCAGCTGCAATGCATGGGGCACTTCCTGCTATTGTCAGGCTGATCTTGGCTGCATGCTCAACTGTCACCACAGTGGTGGCTATTTCTGTGCCCTGTCACAGAGCAGGGCCTGGGGCTCCTATCCTTGTCACTCCCTCTCCTCAGTTTATGTTACTGGTCACTGGGCTGCGGAAGTCCTGGATCCAGTTGGGGAGGCAGCCACACCTGTATCTCTTCTTTGCAAAAGATGTGAGCTTTGTGTTGCTCTTTGAAGGGATGCAGCACAAGCCCTCCCTCCTTATCTTTGCATCTAGCACCAATGTGTGCACTATATACTAAAAGAGTCCTAAAAGATCAAGTCTGGAAGATTTCAATGAGCATATGCTATTATCTAGGAGAATTGTGTGTGCTATCTTTGGCAATCTTCTTTGTTGACTATGTTTGGCAAACTGCCATCTCTTCAGTAGGCTCAGAAACTTTTTAGACATATGAATATTTTTATGCCTGTTATTGAAACCCTTAGCAAGTGTAACTACTGATCTTCTTCTGAAATTTTGATTAGTACAGCTGGATAGAAGTTCAGTAAAAGGCAGGGTAGGTGTTATTCTATGTCCACAAATCAGTAGAGAATGAATGAGGATGTGTGGTACAGACATCATCTTTGGGCTTTGCTTTCAGATGCCCCCTCAGGGACTACAGTACTTTAAACATTTGGGACAGAGTAGCTAATATGAATGGTTTGGCAGGCTTCTAGCTGCATCTAGGGCACCTAACCACCTTTTGAAAATCTGGCTTCCCAGCCTTTAGTCAAGCTCTTGAGGCTTGATACTCTGCGTACAATTGTGCTATCACCCTCTTCTCAAAGTTCTGGACACTGGTGTTCCAAAAACTCTCCTTCAGTTAATGCTGCCAGTGGAAGGCACAAGGTTCCCTCAGACAATTTCTACTTTATGACTTGTCTCCATCCTATTTACCATGAAAGTTTGTACACAGTGCTCCCCTTTCCACCTCCAGTTGCATCTCACTTCAAGTGCACATTGTAACCTTGCAATAAAGGGGGGGGAGTCTGTTGATTGTAAACATTGGAATTAAACTGGCATTTTATGTGGTAGGATTTGTTTGATAAGAACATTTATATTCCCTGGACCAGGGCTGTCCAGTTGGTGGCCCAGGGGCCACGTGCAGCTCACATGGGGTTAATGTGCAGCCCCTGGGCTTCTATCCAACCTTCACACCCCTTATCTCTCTGGCTGAAGCAGCTGGGGTCTCTAGTATTCCCCCAATATCAACCTTTGTTTCCTTCTCTTACCCCAGGGAGTAGGGTGGCACAGCCCATGGTACCAGGGGAGCCTGCGGCATGGTGCAGTGGTTTGGGGGCTTCCCATATGTAGCGCAGGGAGGATGCAGCCTGGGGGCCCATAGCTTACACTAATGCAGCCCTGTTAGTGCAGCTTATGTAGCATGCAGCCCCTAGGCCCTTAGAATGTGGACAGCCCTACCCTGGACCATCAAACATTACAACCCTCCCATTCCATGGCAGGCTAGGAATATCAGAGCCATGCATTTCTAGACTCTTTGTCCTAGCTATTTCAAATCCTGGAAAACTTCTAGAAGAATGCACTGCTGATACTAACTAGCCCCCCTGAACCTATCAAGTATCTGCAGATACAAGGTAACCTAGGGGATAGTGACCATCAATTGATTTAATTTACTATCTGGCAAAGGGTGGAAAAGATAACCAGTAGGGCAGAAGTGTCAGACTTCAGAAAGGGCAACTTCAATATGCTCAGGAGATTAGTTAGTGAGGCACTGATGATCAGGGGCATTGGTGAGATGGGAGTCCAGGAAGGGTGGCTATTCCTAAAGGGAATGATCCTTCGGGCACAGGAGGCAATCCCATTGTGCAGGAAAGGGGGGAAAGGTGCCAAGACACCCTCTTGTCTGAACAGAGAAATCCAAGAAAGCCTAGGGGTAAAAGAAGAGACATATAGGTTCTGGAAGCTACCACGGCAAAATATGCCTACTTGGCTCACACTTGCAGGGAGTCAGTTAGAAAGGTCAAAGCTGCCATGGAACTTAGGCTGACAACGAAAATTAAAGACATCAAGAAGTCCTTCTACAGGTATATGGGGAGCAAAAAGAAGGCACAGGGTAACATAGGACCCCTACAGGGCAGACTAGGGCAATTGGTGCCAGATAGGAGGGACAAAGCTGAGCTCTTCAATGAGTTCTTTGCTTCTGTATTCCTGAACAAGGATCAGGACAAATCTCCCAATTGGATTATATACAAGCACAGGAGGGAAACCAGCCCACCAACTGTTAGTGCCAACTTAGTGAAGGGACACTTGGATGGACTGGATGTGTTTAAGTAGGCAGGCCTGGATGATCTTCATCCAAAGGTACTGAAGGAACTGGCCAGTATCATAGCAGAACCACTGGCACAGTTGTTTGAACACTCATGGGGCTCAGGTCAGGTCCCAGAGGATTAGAAAAGGGCCAATGTGGTCCCTATTTTCAAGAAGGGGAGGAAGAAGGATCCAGGTAACTATAGGCCAGTTAGCCTCATCTCTATCCTTGGGAAAACCTTTGAAAAAATTATTAAAGATCACATTTGTGGGAGTTCAGCAGGAAAAATAATGCCGAAGGGTAACCAGCATGGGTTCATAGCAGGTAGATCCTGCCTGACTAACCTTGTTTCTTTTTATGACCAGATCACAAAATGCTTAGATTCAGGGGATGAGGTAGATGCCATCTACCTGGATTTTAAGAAAGTCTTCAATATGGTATCTCATCCTATTCTCATAAATAAACTGAGCGGTTGTGATGTAGATAATTACATGGTCAGGTGGATGGCAAATTGTCTAATGGGATGCACCCAGAGAGTGGTGGTGGTTGGGTTGGCATTGACCTGGAAAGATGTGGGCAGTGGTGAGGCAGCAGCTGGAGTACCGCATCTAGTTTTGGA